TGATCCCGTTCCCCTTGTGCCTGGGGCCGTTGCCTGAGCTGTATCAGATGAAGATGGAGGCAGTGAAGACGCTGTCAGAGGACTTGTGTTAGCAAGAGCTTGTTGAGAGTGCGTGGATTGGGTCGCAGCACTACCGGCAGTGATGCTAGATGCACTTCCTAATGCAGAAGCGGATGGTAGTACTGGGAACAAGGCTGCGCTCGCGCTGGAGGGGAAGGGTTCTCTAATGCCTAGGTTAGACGGTACTGAGCGTGAGTGCCATTGTGAGGATGTTGGTCTTCGAGCGAGCTGCGATGAGCCCACATTCGACTCCGAGAATGGACACCTGATATCGCTGAGGATTGCCAGAGCTGTGTAGAACTCGCGGTCCGAAGAGAACTTTAGCTGAAACCGACGGATCTTGACTGCGTGAGAGGAAGGCCCGTCCAGTGAGTTGTGTGTTACTTACGAATCCGTTGCCTGTTGGATATTTCACTGCGAGACAAGGCGACTTGATGACCACGGCGAAGATGGGCCCGGGATGGACGCTTTGTCCTGACAAGTGATGAGTAGAAGTTTCTTGGATGAAGTGCCCAAGATCGACTTCTTCCTGCAATTGTCAAGTCATTGTACGGGTTAATTAGTGCTAACCCAAGGACTCCAAGGTTGTGGGACTATACCACGATATTCTGGTCCTGAAACACTCTCAGAAAGATTGGGCTCTGAGCTGAGGATATCCCTCCTGAACCCTTGTGAAAACAACATACAATGTCTCCATTGCTGAAAACATGACTCCAGTTCAACGGACCGTTGTGATGAATGCTGGTTGTGGTATGAGAGAACTTTGCAAGGGACAACCGAGCCAGCTGAGTACACTCATAGACTCGTTGAGATAAATGATACATTAGGAAGTTCCTTCGTCTCTACCGTAGTCATAGGTGTAGAAGGATAATGCAAAAAGTCCGGTCTAATTATACTGAGTAGCAGCCGAATGTCATCAGAAGTCAATGATAAAAGTGTAGCAGAATGCACTGAGAATGGTATGGCATAGTCAGGCTCAGCAACCGGACGGCCTCAGGCAGTTATACCAAAATTCTTCTCGTGAATGTTGATTCTTTCTATAATATATGCTTGAGTCCTCCTATCCAGTTCTGACATTTATTATACCTCGTCCTCGGCGGAACATTCCATGATTTCATCAAACGTTACAATACAAAAGAGCTCCGGTATTATCAAGAGCAGTATCCAGGTCGTAGCATATCCGCTATAGTCGCAGTAGAAGTTCCTATCTCGATATTGAAGTCGACATTCGAAAGCTGTATAGAAAGAGGCTTACGCCTGAGGCACCAAGCCTTCCACATCCAAACATAACAAACATGCATGACATTTCCGGACGGAACAACATATAATCCGGACACGCGCCTGAGGCCAAAGCAGATGGGCGGACTTTTTGCCTGGGATGCCAGGAACGAGGATCGCAGGATCAGCTTCCTCCACACAGCCTGAAGGAGCACAACCAGGTCATTGACGCTTGATTTAGGCCTGCCCTTGTCGCGACTTAGTTTCTCTACTGCAGAAGGAAAATCGCATTCCTTACTTCAGATCTGTCCTCTCGAAGCTTCGTTGCTCTCACGACCGTAGTCGCATTCATCGGTTGGCTTCCGATAGCTCTAAATCGCGGCCGATCTCCCTTCGCGGGGTGACAATCAGACAAGCTTCGCAAACATTCACCTTGCCTGTGAAAGCTATCAGCTTGTATTCGTATCGCTCCATTCACCCTACCTCATCTCATCCTCTCCTTTCGAAACACACCTGGACGAGTAACCCGACTCCCTCAGCAAATTCTACGCCGGCGCGTCTCAAACAGGACTTCTCTTCCAACGAAGCGAAACTGGTCTCAGAAAGTTATAGTTGACATATTCTGGAGCTACATCGGCGTAGTCAAGTTCAGCCAACGCGGCTCACTTCGTCCCGGTAGCGAAGAGAGCGTTTCCAGGAAGCATTGGGATCAGGACATTAACCGAGTTAATCACAATGTCAAACAACACACCGCGCACATCCTTACGAGGCAAGTTTATCATCCCTTTTAAAATGCTTTCCGACCTAGATTGCTGACTGGTTTAAAGAAGGCTTGCGGCAAGCTCCAAAGGCCAACCAACCTTTCATCCCAGACACTGCACCCGTTCGACGCTCGCACTCAAATGCGCACCACTCGCCGCAGCCAACTGGAGCACATACACTTTCCACCGCGTCAATGGGGTCGAATATTCCACAAGGAATGCCCGAGAATTGGGAAGGGAGGGACCAAAGACAATTTCCAATGTCCACGCGTGAGGTAGCAACGCCCGGGAACAGACCTGGCCTTTTTGCGACCCTGCACGATCGAGGGAAGGTGGCTAAGCAACCAGATTTCTATGATCCTTACTTTCCGCTCAAATATCTCGAGGTACCCAAATGTACGTGATCTGTGCCGTCAAATTACTACCGCCTGCTAGTCGAGACCTATTACTGACCTTGCCATGCAGCCGATCATATCTATAAAAGGGCCCACTACGGTCTACAATCAGGAATCCCCGATGAGGTGGATTTTGCATTATATCACCTTGTTCAGATTTCGAATCAACGATGGGATAAATTCAAGTTTGAAGGTTTCCCTTTGCTTGCGGAGAACCTCATGGCAAAGGCCCTGGATATTTCCCTTGTCACAACCGGAGTGAAGTGGGAGCTTCAGTATGATATTCAGCAACCCAGTGATCGCGTCAATGTGCTGAACTCACTACACGGCACACGAGATCTATTGGAGAAGATCAAACAAATACCAGTTACGTTGCCGGAAGACACCCTCGAGACGTATGAATTCAACCACCTTCTCCGCAACATTAAAGAGGCCACCTTAGTCCTGCGAAACATGGTGCTTTTGAAAGAGAATGCCTACTATGTGTCACGGTACGCGAAGGGCTTGCTCCGAGACTTCCTCGTCATTATGATCAACATGCCCAATCAGCCTCGTCTCAACGAGATCAAGAACGACGCTCTGGACATTGCCGAGGAGGTCACCAAGTTTATGAAGACCGATCCGGAGGATCCACTTTGGATCTCACTTCTCAATTGTCTTGAGTCGCCAGACCGCGCTCACGTGGTCCGCGCACTATGGGCTCTCACCCATTTCTCCACTGAACTAGACGAGCCAGAGGCGAACCGGGCAATGGAACGGATACCAAAGGAGACTTTGCAGCAGCTCTACTTCCACACTCTTCTCGACTTGGACAAAGATATTCTCAGTGGTGCGCTGGACTTTTGGTACCAGTATACACTTTCATCCGAGAACGTTGAGAGTTTGATTGAGGTCTTCAACTTGCCTACCGTCTTCGTCCCCCGGATGGTCGCATTGTTAACGCATGAAGGCCGACCAAGCAAGAAGGAAACTGTGTTGCAAGAAGAAAAGGTGGCCCCCCCGCCGTCGGATATCCCTCGTGTGCCGCCTGAGCTCATGAAAGAGCTGATGGAGCTTTCGGAGCCTGAGCGGAGCTCGCGTTGGCTCCGGTGTTGTTTTGTTGAGGACCTCGAGTGTGAGATCACCCAAATTGCATTGTGGCAGGCGTATCAGAGCAGATTTGCAGACCCTCGTCTTCCTGGTGGTGGTGTTCTCCCTGCGGCTGAATTCATCAAAAATGTCAGTACCACTTTCACGAACGCGCAGGCCCAAGTGATCAATGGCCCTGGTGCAGCGACAAAATTCATCATCAAAGGCATTCGGCCGCTGGAGACCGCCTATAGTTTCGAGGGCTTTCCCTATATTTACTGCAAGTGGGCGGACAATTCGAAACCAAGCAAGACGTGTCAGCGCGCTTTCAAGTCGCCGGCAGAACTTCGCCATCATGTCTTCACGGAACACATGAATCTCAAGCCTACTGAAACGCCGGGACACTACAACCTGGAGAAGGCGGAATCGCCCGTTCATACCTGTCTTTGGGACAACTGCACGAAATTCCGGTCGTCTGGCCCGAGTGCTAATACTGCAATGGTCGCCGGGCATGTCTCCGCACATTTGCCCGAGGAACGTGCCCCGGACGCGGAGCCACCGACATCCAAACGGGCGGTGCTCCAAGAGCGCATCGTTCGTAAATGGTACTACCTAGACACTCCAGTCAATGAGCGGGGCGAGCCGTTCGGAGTGGCCTACAAGGCTGCGTTAGTATTGCGCAACCTTGCCCGAAACCTACCTACGGGTATTGCACCACAGTACAACGGGCTTTCGTGGAAGAAAGCCGTCTTCCTTAGCCACCGTCCGAAGATCGTCGAAGCATGGGACCGTAACCGCTCATTGCGTAAGGAACTTACGGAGTTGATTATGGTAATAGAGAAAGAGGATTATTACTGAACTTTGGGCGGGAGAAACGAAATGAATAGTGGATGATCCTCCCTTCAGTTCGTTTTCCTTTCAAACCCGCTAGTCCTCGTCCTCATTCTTCTGCACGGCTATTGATTGTACAATAATACCCTTTTTCTATCGCATGATATCTTTCGATAATCTTTTCGTTCTTTTTCATTTCTTCACTTCATGAGGAACTCCTCACCTCAATCGAAGCCGTACCGTTCGGTCTTCAACTTTGGTGAGGGTTCGGAAAGAACCAGCAATCTGAATACATGGCGTCCGGGTTTCGGGGTAGGAATCTGCTGGGTGATGCACGGTTTCCTCTAACGATGTACTATAGGTAGATCGCAGCCAGAAAAAAAGGATTCTAATTTGCCTAAAAGTTTATGCGAGCGGAAGAGCTCTTATCATTTCCATTCCTTGAAGCCGCTGTGGCTGTGTATTAGCGAGAAATCGATGGTGTTGTATAGATCTCCGAGGAAGTCTTCGTAGAGCAACCATGATGCCTCACGGTACTCTCCAACATTGGATCCCTAGCATTGGGCCTCGGACCGATTCCGGCAACTGCCCTGGGGAAGGAGGAGTCCGTACTGAGCGAACATGTGTGATCTACGACCGGGGCAGGGGATTCATCTGGTCGGGAGTTTCAGAGGAGTTTCGTAGCTGGTTGTTGGACGTCGAGGACGAATTTTTCGCGGATGTCCATGGGCTTGACTGTGGCTTCGGTAAAGTCTTCAGATTCCGTGAGCCGATAGTCCAAGTTCAACGCGATGTCGCTGTCGTTGGCGTTGGCAAGTGAATGCAAATCAGACCAGCTTGCTTGCATGATCAGCTCAGGGGCACGCTCCATGGCGGTTTTTACGCCGAGAAAACCAGTGTCATGCCATAAAAGCTTCGTAAGTGACAGTGCTTGGGCAATGCGAACGGTCAGATCCAGAAGAGTCCATACGCGTAGACTCTAGTCTCGAGATTGAGGCGACATCGCGATCTCTGAATTAGCAGAGAGTTTCGTCAGCTGTGATATCCGCTAGACTCTACCAAGAAAAGAACAAAGGCTTGCATGACGGCAGCATAATAGACGGGAAGACGACCGCTTCGGGTGCTGGGTGCCCCGATATATAGTCAAGATAGGGTTTGTTCCCCAGGATTACCGAGCACAGCAGCGAACTGGCGATTGCCGCCACTCAGTTGGAAGTCGTCGGACATTGTTCAGATCACTGGCCAAAGACGCTATTAGTGTCTATAGCTCATGTTGAGTACGCTAAGTTGTTGACGTGATCAACTTACCTGGGTCACAGCATTAGCAAAAAAGGGGCTTGCAGAGAACGCAAGAGGCCTCGATGGCACGGCACTGCATTATTAGCATCCTCGACAGCGGTATTGATCTTCGAGTGATCTGCAGGAGAAACCTAGACTCGCGGAGGTTTAACCCGATCGAGTCCTACAGAGTCGGAGCAACGGAAGCGGACGAGGACAGTCTTGCGACGACACCGCAATCATGGTTTTTTGCTGAAACTAGAACCAGTTGCTCAAGTCGAGATACACGCTCCGGCAGGCTATGTTCAGTTTCAATTCCAAGCGAATGCTCGCATGCTCGCATCCCAGACCGAGCTCGCGGTAGACGTGCCCGTTCTACAGGGAAAAATGCAATACCGGAGCGGCAGCAGTTGGAGCGAAGACACACTTATCACACATTTTCTTGGGGCGATGGCAGGATTCGCAAACGCAAAGAGACCCTGTGTTTGGACGGGCTGAATTAATATTGAGACGGACTGTATCTGAATGATTCCGTCTGTGATGATCTGCCATCATCGTCAACGGATGGCTCTCCTCAATCAGGTCGATTTCTTTACCGTGCTTATTGGATCACATCTGCTCAGAAAAGGCACCCCGCACAATGCTATTCCTCATCATAGTAAAAGGCACTAAGGTCTCTAGAGGCTCTGTGGATTATCTGTGTTACTATCTGAGGCACCAAGTGTCTGGCGAGAACCTAGGTACCAACCTGCCTAAGGCACTCGCTGCTCTCGCTAAGCTTCGTTGTCTGATTCCTTCGATTCCTTCCGCATACTCCGTACTTTTGACATACTCCTGGGGTACAAAGGTCGTGTCATATCCGGACAGCATTAGGAGATATGCGGATACGGAGTACATGCAGCATTGCTCAATCCCATGAGGGCCGGCTAAATTCGCCGATGTAGCCTAAACTGTTGTCATGTTGTTTGACCCCTTTTTCACTAAGCGATGCTCATTCAGTGCTCATTACTGATCAGAAAGACAAGAAACTGAATGATTCAATAGTCTTGAAGCAGATAGTGCGCCTGGCGGCTCAGGTATTCTTGTCGCCTGCCCAAAAGAGTCCTAAACTGTTTCCTGAATGGGTAAGCCGCTCGGGACTCGATTGGCGGAGACTGCGTTGCTGCCCCTTAATCCCCATTCAGAACTGTGTAGGTTCCCTCTTGTGCTGCACTGCTTATGTTCTCTTCGAGGTCGACGCCAGTCAGCTAATAGGTGCCACTTTTTAGGCTTATCCTACAAGATCAACGCCATTCTCTTACGTAGTATCTCTTTCTGTTCAACAGTGCGCCTGCAGTGCAAATCAACACGTGCACAGAGTCCTGACCCCGCCATGGAGGCGTCGAGGCGTCAAAGCTGGGTCTTTCCCTTTTTGCGTTAAGCACGTCCGAGTTAAAGCCTAAATATTGAAAAGGTCAAGACTAAAAACGCCCGGACTCGATGGTGGATGGGTGGATCCAGGCTAGTATGTCATTCTCGCGCCACTGATTGCAGTTGGAGACAGAAAATTCGCCATTCTGAAAGTTCATGTCGATGATCATCATCGGAACTATCGACAATTCGAATACACTGCAGTCTCCTCGTGATTGAATCATTGAATTCCAGGCAGTTGGGTCTCGATTACCCCCGCGCACGAGCAACAAGCTTGACTATCCGGAATAGCATGATGAAGAAGGTGGCCTATAGCGCTAACMTAGGAATGGAGACACTAGGCAAGTCGTGCATATGATCGACATGATGGCGCACGAGTTCATGCCATTGCGCCGGGGCAGATTACCCTCGTTGGAACTTGTGCCCCAGACGAATGTAAAAATTGCACCGAACCTTTGCCCCGAGGACGAACTAGCAGTTGAAGTAGATCTTGAAGGTTGAAGAGATAGAGAGAGCGCGTGTGCTGCTCATCACGAATCGGGCATCTATCTGTCTTGTTCCAGACGTTCATTTATGGACGGGCGGGCCTGGCATGGAGGACACTACTAAGTAACTCACCTATTGGCTGGCTAAACTGACTGTCATGCCGATTGAGCCGTGGTTCAGCAACAGGCCAAACCCAACAGTTGTCAATTTGTCGCTGTCACTGACATTTGATACATTTTGGCGTCCATTTTCCTATAACGGGAGGGGGTGTCTCCTGGGACTGTTTTTCGAGGCAAGCCAGGGAAGCATCGGGCTTCACAAAAGTCAAAGTCGAACTATTGTCATAAACTCCCGGGAGTCCCGGCGTTATAACAATGCCTTTATTCGGAAATGGTTACCGCTCTGTGTGAGTTTTGATAAAGATGGTGCATGGATTACGGAGTATACGGAGACATTCCGCACAATGATCCGTGGTTTATGTCCCGTTCTGAGCCAGACTCCTACCCTTCTGGGAGTCCTGGCAACCTATTCAACCAAAAAAGAGGCAAGGAACAGCCCAAGCATTCCACCAGCACCAACTTTGATCTGGTGGCATTATTCCTTATTGGGCCTACGTAACCCCCAATTCGGGACCGACAAGTCTGGGCGGTGATATTATCCTTCTTGGCCAGTTGTTAGAACCATCGAATGAGCTACTAACTATTCTCTAGATGTCACTTTGTCAGTCTCCTGAAAGCCGCCTCTGACTTGGATGTTCCGGATAAACTGGAAGCCCTAAAACGCCGAGTACAACAATCGGAGTCTTCCAAGGACCAATGACTGAACAACGCTTTGTCGATCCTTATTCCAATTCTCTCACGTGGAGGTTAGACTCTGTTCTGATTCCTGAGGCGTCCGGTCACTGGCATAAACTCTCAACAGACATCAGCTCCACTGCTCCACATCAACTCCGATACTATTACTCTATTAGACAATGACTACTATTAGGCTATCGCTTAACTAACTGTCCATGAACCTTAAGACGCCTGCCAATGGACCCTAATAGGATGTTCCTGAACAAGGAATTGTATCCTGAGGTCTGAGCGTCCGTAGTGCAATCCGAACTTGGCCATCGTCATGATAAGATTTCTGGTTGGAGCCCGAAGGACGTACTACTGGAGTCTCTCTCCGCTTTTTTTCGAGTCTAGCAATATCAGGCTTTAGATGATCCATGTTTCTTTCTCAGATGGGGCCTGGCATTTTTGATAATATGGAGCCTGCGTCCTCTGAAGTGCTCTCTTACATCTCTTACATTGACGCTCAATCCTTCTAACCTTGTTTCACTCATTCGCAATGTGCGCCGCATCGAGAACAACTGATATTGGAGCCTCTCTCAACTATTGAGCACCACTACTAGGCTGTTCTGGAAGTCACTCATTACTATTATTACCTCACGATCCTTACTCCTGCTACCTGCACTAGATTCTCTATCGATTCGATATCTTCCATCCTTTCACCTTTTGTTCTTCCGGGGGCCCCAGTGCGAAAAAGAAAATGGCATTCGGAACACCCCGCGGCCAGCAGGCCCTCTCTGTCAGCATTGCATTTACCACCTTAGCCACTGTTTTCACGTTTATCCGAATTTACACACGAACATTCCTTGTGAAGCAGATGGGCGCCGATGATTGGGCTATTATTGTGGCTCTGGTAAGACTTTCGCAGAAGTTCCATAGCCATGGTCGGATTTGTCGGCTAACCATCGCAGGCCTTTAGTTGGGCTTTTTTCGGTCTGTTTGTTGGAGGTATGCATATTCCCTTTCTGAAGCCATGGATGGCTGTGCTTGTCTGCGTTTGGTGCTTACGGTGGACAATTAGAGGTCAAGTATCTCATGGGAGAGCACTATGTGAAGATCCCGCCAGACATTCTTGTTAAACAAATGAAGGTGGGAAATGCCTGTTGTTCTATCGTTTTGACGTCCGGCTAATGTGTACGTTCAGTGTTTCTGGGCAACGATACCCTTGTATCAAGCGAGCCTGCTTACTACCAAAGCCTCGATTCTGCTACAATACAAACGAGTTTTCTCGACACCGCGCATGCGTTTCGCCTGTTGGTGCTTGATTGGATTTTTGGCCGCCTACGGATCATGGACATTCATCAGTGCCTGGGTCACTTGCGTACCCGTGTCCAAGTTTTGGAATCCTGACGAGCCTGGGTATTGTCTTAACAAGAAAGCCCTTTGGTTCTCCAACTCAGGAATCCACATCTTCACAGATATCCTGATCTTGGTATTCCCCATGCCATCGCTCAAGAACCTGCAACTCCCCAGACGACAGAGATACGCCCTTATGGCCGTCTTCGCTCTGGGTTCATTGTGAGTTTCGTTCCTTCTATAGACCTCCACACTTGGGTTACTGACTGGCCACGAACCAAAGTGTCTTGATAACGAGCATTCTCCGACTGAACAGTCTCATGGTCATTTCCAACTCGTCTGATCCAACTTGTGCGTTTTCCGACGTCGACATAACCCCGTCTACCAAAGAAGCAAACTAACTCTCAACTTGTAGATGATAATCCAGGCGCCGCCATGTGGTCCGCCATCGAATGCAACGTCGCCATCATCTGCGCCTGCCTCCCTGGCATCCGCGCCTTCGTCTCCAAGCTCCTCCCCCGCTTCCTCTCCAGCTACAAGACCAGAAGCAACACCCGCACCCGGACCCAACGCACCCGCGTCACCCAGTACTCCAACTTCCATGCTTCCGTCACCGGCCGCCAGCCCGACTTCCAAATGCAGTCGGTCAGCCACGGCCCGGAGGGCGGCGACGACAAGGCAAGCGCTTTCGAGGAAGGCGCTTCGAACAAGATCAAAGTGACCACCATCGTGTCACAGGAATCCATATCGAATGATGCCTCGAGTGTGCGGCAGCTATTATAAAATTGTTGTTCTTGGACGGCTTTTCTCTGTCGTGTATGATTTTTCTGGATCTCGTCGAGAGGTCTGGACTAAGTAATGATGCTAATGATTTATTAATACTAATTCAATATCCATGCTGCTCGGCTAATCCGCCTTGCAGTCATTTATATGCTATCCTGCTCGTAACTGATATACTAGAGTAGGGCAATTAGCCAGCTGACCGTATTGCGTATGCTAGATATCCTTCTGCCTGGACGGAGACATAAGGTGGTAAGGATAAGTTATGATTGTGAATGCATTTTAAGCGAGTTTGAGCTATAAGAGTAGGCAGATACCCAAGTTTTGCAGCGAAGAATTCCTCACGTGCCCGTCGCGACACTAGCATCAAGGCCTTCGAACTCAACGAGGACGAGGATGGAGAAGGCACCAAGTCAGAGCTCGATATCACGGAAGCAACAATTCGAAATGCCCAGGTCAAGTTGGAGACAACGGTGAAGACGCTAGAGGGCAGCGAACAAGCCCTTCAGGACATCAAGAAACAGACCTTCGAAACATAGCGTACCCTGGTTACGCTTCGCACCGAAATTGCACAGCTCCAACAGCACGAGGTGACCATCATACCCTTCCCCCATCGCTCAAGGAGGTACCCCATCGCGTCTATCCACTACTGCTGACACTCTGTTCGAAACAAATCCACGGAATCCTCGAAGCATGCATCAGACAAATACCTGGTCGACCTACAGGAAAATCTCACCAACTTGGTTCAGTTCTTTCACAAGCTCGCCGAGACACTGAGGCAGATGCTAAAGGACAAGGTGAAGCGCTTCGAGGTCCATGTAAAAGCCGCGGTGGAAGATCGCGCCAGGCTGATTTAGACTGGGATTAGCCTCAGCGAGGTGTCCGTCTGAACCCAAAGCCCTTTCAGAAGTTTTGCTCTCTGTCCGTTTCTTTACTATAGCTAGTCCCAGCATTGTGCAAAGGCATGTATTTACTGGAATTTCAGCCAAAGAGGGATCCGTGGGAAGAAAATCCACTTTAATCCACTTTAAGATCGCACAGGTAGAAAACAAACATAAATAGCCTTGGCAGCGGTCGTCTCAGCGTTGACTTCAGGTCCTCGCTTTCTACATGTAATTCGATAAGGTCATTATGTCAAGACTAAGGGTAATGTGGTTGATACAAAAGGGAACCAACCAAGTCCGGTCGAGGAAGTGAGAGAACAGATATAAATTCACATTGATCTGGCGCCTAAGTCTAAATTGACACCATGAGCACTATATGCAATCGAAGAATTAGCAACACAAGAAGGAAAGAACTACTGCCAAACATTAGAGAATAGATCATCAGCTCCGCCAAACCCGCCAGCCGGTTTAGGGGGAGCATTCGAGGTCGTCGTGGTCGTAGTTGTTGTTGTGGTTGTAGTCGGGATAGGTGCGGCACTGGCCCAACCGCCAAAGTCTTCGTCAGCGGCTACGGTGGGTGCGGGTTTCGAGCCTGCGGCAGGGGAGGCCGGGGCTCCCCAACCGGCGCCAATGTCGTTGGCTGTCAGTGTGTCCGGGACCTTCATCATGGTTGAGGTGGATGGGGCAGGGGCAGGGGCAGCGGGTTCGGGAGTGCTCCACTCGTTACCACCCCACGGATCCACGTTGGGGATCATGCTCGCGACGGAGGCTGTGGATGTCGAGGTTACCGGTTTCGGAGCTGGGGCTGGGGCGGGAGTAGGAGCCGGGCTGTTCAGGTTGAAAGCGGATTTCAGCTCCTGCTGAGGCGACTTTGCCATAGGCGGTGCAGCTGCAGGAGCTGCAGGAGCAGGGGGCGAAGAGAGTCCGAAGAGATCGTTGGAGAAGGATGATCGTGGAGGGTTCGGCTTGGGCGATGGAGCCGATGCAAAGCTGGAGAAGCCCAAATCATGGCTATTGGAGGAGATGGAATCGGCACGGGACTGCGTTTGAGGCTTAGCAGGTGGGATAGTCGGGGAGGTAAGGCTGTCAAAGAGACCGCCACCAAAGCCACTACTGGCGGAGGCGGTAGGTGACGTGACCTTGGGAGCTGCCGGAGTGGATTTGGTGCTGGTGAAGCTCGTCAAATTGGCAAAAGGCGATGGCTTTTCAGCTGGTTTGGAAGGCGGCGGAGAAGTGGTCGAAGGGAAGCTCAGCCCGCTGAAGGCATCGGTCAGTCCACCCAGGTTGGAAGACGCCGATTGCGGGGCCGGAGATGCTAAATCTCCAAACGAAGACTGGCGCTCATGTTGCACGGGAGGCTGGGGCTTTGAATAAAGAGACAGGATGGATTGTTTCAGATCCGGTCGAGACATTCCGGTCGAGCCACCAGGCGTAGACGCGGTGCTGGCTGGACGGCTAGTGGTCGCGGGCTGAGCGCTTCCGAAGAAATCGAGTCCAAGCAACGAATCACCCGGTCGAGCCGGCTTTGCCGCAGGCTGTGATTGCGACTGTTGCCTGGGGGCAGCGATCCGCGGCGTGGGATCTGTGGTGCTAGGACGAACCGGCGGAGTAATTGGCTCGTCATCACCGAAGAAGTCAATAGATGCTTGGGGACGGTGTGTGATCGGAGGTTGGCTAGCATTTGCTACTCGTTGAGACGACGAACGCTCAATCTTTGCCTGTTCCTGGACTACTGCAAGAGGCTTCAAAGAATGTCAATTCCACCGCAGATCAAACAATGCGCCGACAGAGCTTACCACGTTGTCATCACCCACATCCAACGTTGCCGGGTCGGGCATTGGCCCATCCATAACCCATCGCTTCGATTCATATTTGGTGCGAATGAAGTTCTCGATCTTACTATCCACATTCCCATTAGCGCTGGTTATACTGCTGTGCCAACGGGGCCGACTCACGCTTCCGAGGGGACGTGGCCAGGGGCGAGTTTGGCTTCCCAATATCTGCGAATACATGATCAGCATACATTTCAACCCGCGAGCGTCTCAACGGCTCGATACATACTTGTTCGCTCTGGCATTGCCCCATCGGATCACACTCTGGAGTTGTTCATCGGTCCACGAATCGAGATCCACAGACTTCACCCGGCTGATATGGGTGCCCATCCCCCTGTGGATGCCCGAGCAACGGATACATATGAAGATTCCCAAATTCCAGGAGGCCCATCGCGGATCTAGTAGAACAGACCGTCAGCAAAAAGGTCAAGACACAGAGTTCAAAAGTCGCGGATCGGCAGTTGGACGTAGGCAGATACGACAAGACCAGGATGTCCGGGGGCGGGCACAACTCACGCTTGTTGCGCTTGCAATCAGCACATATCTTATTGCACTCGATTTTCAGCAGGTTCTTGATTATCTGCTGGTTCTGAGCAGCCTGGGAAGGAGTCGCACGTCGAGACATGACAGCTGGTAGCGCGGTCCTCTCGATGGCTGGAAAGAGATGGATGTAATGGTTGTTGTATTCGGGGGAATTCAATAACGGATGACAAGCACCAAGTGGCGGATGCGGTGCGGCCTGAGGCAGCCAATTGTGGATGCCCGATGCAGAGAGCTGCACACGCCAAATATGCAGGATGGGAGTCAACAAAGACTAGAAATTCGAATATAATACAAATCATCGAGTCTATAAGTCTATTATTTTGAATAGAGCCTTGAGGATCTATTTATAAAAGCATGTTATTGTCCACTGTGTGCCCCACTCCTCATCTAACGTCCCTTGCCGTGCAGAATATCATCATCAAATTGCTACTATATAATTGTGTTTTCGCTCCTCAAATCTTCAAGCCTTCGACTTCACTGCCTCCTCATCCTCTGTAAACTTTAAACTAATACTGTTCACGCAATGCCTCTCATCTGTCGGCGTAGAATACCCCTCGCCCTTGAAGACATGACCCAAATGACCCCCGCAGTTACTACACACAATCTCCGTCCGCTCCATTCCAAACGAGCGATCCGTATGTCTGGTCACCGCCCCGGGGATGGAGTCAAAGTACGCAGGCCAGCCGCACCCGGACTTGAACTTATGCGAGGCTTTGTAGAGCGGGGCGTTGCAGCCGGCGCAAGTGTAGACGCCCTTGGAGGGGTACTGGGCGTCATATTCGCCAGTGTAAGGGGCCTCTGTGCCTTTTTCGCGCAGGACGCGAAATTGTTCTATTCAATAGATTAGATTGCTATTCTTTGGTGTATAGCGTATTGTCGAGGGAGGTTCACCTGGAGACAGGACTGCCCGCCATTCCGCCTCACTTCGCTGCTCGGGGTAGGACATGTTGGACTCCTCGGCCTTGGCACTTGAGCTGAAGAACGAGCTTAGGAATGGAATAGTGGGCGCAGCTTTGAGGGCTGTGGTTCTTGAAATTGGAAAAGGTATTCTGGTAATGGATCGTGGAGAGACGGATGTGATGAAAGGTGTGGTGGTGAGGATGCGGAGAAAACGAGTGAGATGTTGGAAACGCATCGGGATGGACTAGAATTATGGGCGCTGGATTAGTGAGAAGATCAGGTCGAGAATCCCACCTAAATTTATCCGTAGAAGCCTCAGCCACGCATGGGTGAAAACGAGCCTTGTATCAAACTATCGATACATTGCTGAATCTCCGATTTGCCTCTACGTTTTACGTCATCATGCGGAGAATCACCGCCGAAAAAGCATGCAAAGGAAAATGGGTATATTTTGTAAACAGGTAAACAAGTATATCCGTTAGATGCGGTATTCACCGCCATTAAATCCTTGGACATCAACTAGATCAAACAGATGAAATAACTGTAGGGTATCTTAAACGTGATCATGAACTGAAAATGGCGTAACATGTCAACGACGTCGAACAACACCGGTCACTGTCAAAACACCCTCACCGACTTCTACTCTCCATCCTTCCCTGGCCAGCATTTTACCAACAGCCGGCCCCAGACGAGACGTTCCATCGTGACTGTGGCGTCCGACTCCGGTGATGATGCGAAAGCCTGATCGCGCTGCTTCGCCGCCCCGCATGTATTTCGCATCGCCAAGAGAGTCCCACCATTCGGCGACGCGCGAACTGGCGATGCGAACGGCATCCTGGACCGAGACACCGTGCAGGTCCAGTGAATTCGAGGTTGATTGCGAGTCGACTAAAGCATCGGCCGCCGCGGCAGCCTCCCGCTTTGCCCGCTCAAGATGGTCTCGTCCCACCGAGGAGTAGTAAGCAGCGGCTCCGCCCATTAATTTGTCTGATTTTCCGCGACGGTAAGCTGCTGAGGCTTTGTGGAAAGCCTCTGCACTGGCCACAAAGTGGTCGCCAGCGGTAACCCGAGCGGTATCGTGACGAAGGACCCGCGACTCCACAGAAGACCTCTTGGGCTCATCATCACCGAGGTCCAATGGTGGAGGCGCAGTGGTGATCTTGATCAAGTTAGACACAGAACTGGCCGCTGGACGGGTAAGCATGGCGACTGCCAGCTCACCCGCGGCAGATGTTGAATCGCGAGTGATTTTCAGTAGCCCACCAAGTAGTGTTGGCGCAACAGAGGGAAATTCTTGCGTCAATTCTGCAACTTGTGCAAGCATTACGGGGTGCGCATTGATATGGTTTTCCTCAGGCGCATGTGCCATCGCAAGAGATCGAACCGTTAGTGGCAGTGAGGCTCCGTTAGCATGATAAGCAGAAGTAACAGCCTCCTTCTTCAGGACAGGCAAAGTCCTAGAACAGATGAACTCGATATCTTTCTGACCAGCGTCCCATTTGTTCAGCGGAAGATTCTCATCCTGCATGTATCCTGAGGCTGACGGAGAAGATAGTCCCTGGGCCGGGTTATTCTTATTCTTTCCCTTGCGCTTGCGATTCTTCTTTCGCCCAGTGTCTCCATTGGGACACTCGCCAAAGCCATCGATGCCCTTTGGAATGGCAAGCTTAGTTCCGTCTTCATCTTCATACTGCTCATCAAAGAAAGCAATGTTCAAGAGCACGTCCATGGCGCGATCAATATCACCGGCAGACTTCCTAAGCGAATGCTGCACGGTAAAGCGATCCACAGAGGGAAACATATCTGTCAGATAACCAACTTTGTCATCCTCAGAGGCGCCAGAGAGCGACAGCGACCCGTCAGGGCCGATCGTGTAGCGCAAAGAATTGCTTCCGCCCTGACTCCTCGTGCGCCTGTCATCCAGACCAACGGAGGAGAAGTCGGACGCGAGACTGGTGATATCTGTTTCGCGCGACGGGGCAGTGCCGTTTTGCGAGCCGCTGCGCTCCGACAGAATGCCATCTGCGTCACCGGTAGTGCCAGGACTCAGTCCGCTGGTTCCGGATGGATCGAAGGGTAGATCTTCCTGTTCCCATGCTGATAATTTCAAGGTGTCCAGGGCGTCGCGGAGTTGCTGGACCTGTGCAGGGTCTTCCAAGTCATAGTCGGAGACGATAGCGGTGAACAAAGCTGAATCCAGAGGAGGACAATATTCCTTTTCAAGTTCCTAGACGTTCGAAAAAGCACAAATCCAATAATTAGCTTCCTGTCCACTCAGGCTCCAGATGTGTAGCAACTGACTTTCAACAGGCTATTGCCTGTATCACCCATCTTCAAAATCGCTGATTATGTGTCGACAGTGTATTCGGGTTCTCTTTATCATTACTTGGAGATTGAGAACCTCAGAATTTCCTTTGATCATCAAGCAGGGAGATCAAGGCTGTTTGTGCTGAGAAACCACAAATTCGTCGGGGCGGGGAAGCTTCAACGATGCACCAATCACAGATGACATAATGGGCTGTTTGCGATCCCAACCGTCAGCCAGCTTCGTGACCTCATTGATAAACTACTTAGGATTGTTGAAACGTTCAAAGATGACCTAAGATCCAGAGAGCCTTTACATAATGCAGCGCGTATGAGGTACTTTGGGGCAGCATAACAGGTCATCTCTACATTCTCCTTTGGCCACAGCATTCAGACTTATGAGGTCCCCTCGAGAAAACCAATCATTTAGATTTTGACTAACATGATCAATGCTGATGCAAAGGAAGCTTTAGGCAGAAATGATAAAGTGTTATCCTTGACATTCATATAAGCCAAAAGATGACCGGAAAAGAGCAAACAACAGAAGTCCCGGGGACCGAAAAGTCAATGCCCGCCCAACTCACCCCTGTTGTCTGCCTACATTGACAAAAGAAATGGAATCCTTGCTCTTCCGCTGACGTGTTTGGTTTCGCTGTCATGAATGCTCAAGGTGTGAAGCATATTCAAGCAACCGTCTCGTCTTCTGGGCTGTCACCCTCATCGGCGTCTTGGCCACCCTCTCCGCCCTGGGAAAGATCGCCAGAACCAGACAGTCCTTGGTTCGTTTCGTCATTACCCGTTTGAGAGTCAGAGGTCAAACTTCCAGTTAGGAAAATCATATTCCCAGTGCCGGTTGAGGAGCCTGAGCCGCTCGTGGACGGAACGATGCCAGCCAACAGCGACCCAAACGGATTGGTGTTTGAGCCTGTGGTGGTGCCGGAAGAACCTGTATTCGCCAGATCACCGAAATCAAAGTCTTCGAAACTCTGGCGTTTATCTTTCGGGGAGCCTTGGATGGGGACGGCGAGGAGTATCTCGCATAGGCCGAGGAGGATGGTAACAGTCTTGAGATTCATGGTGAGTTTGTGTGAGAGATTTTATGGGTTCTTGGAGGAAAGCAGTAGAAGAAAGCCTGGGTGATGGTTGATGCTCTTAAGCTGGGCTCGAAGGAGGCCTTCTGCCCTCATTTATACTATATTATTTTGAAACCACCCAGGCCCTCCTCGATCCAAGAGCCCTCGACGTTCACACCCTCGACCAATACGTATCCCCTGTCCGGTGCTGATTGAAATCATCTAAAAGTGACGAGCTTGAGTCTTGTAGTAACAGCGTGAAGTAAATAATCATTGCATAATACCAGGTTCATATCCTGGATCCCCTTCTTCTTGCGTGGAAACAGTCGGTATTGCAAGGAGTTGTGTGGTTCTTCTGGCCCGTCTGCCGTAGAAGCTCAAGCCAAAGAATCAGCATAACGTATGCTGTATTGTATGAAGTTCAGGCAGCAGGGAAATCAACTAAACCATATTATCGTGATTGTAACACTGTGATGATGCGGAGCACTATATTACTTCTGATTAGCTGGTCATGATTAGAATCTCCATATGCAGCATTCCGGGATCCAATCCTTTGGTCATTTCATTGACCTTTCCTGTAAGTGCCCCTCAAAATGGAGATTTCTGTATAGACCTGCAGCACTCACGATATCACCGCAGCCTGCCAGAGCTAGTTGCTATCCATTCCATTAGTAAGGGGTAGGTAGTTGCAGGAGAATGTTGGATAACGTCATGGATGACCGTCAACAGACTCTGCTGCAACAAGGAACCCGGACAAGCCAGCTTTCTTCTTGCAAGGAAGATGACACGACTGTTGTTAGATGTTGACTGACTCCAAGGCTGCCGGAGAGCATCGATATCGTTGCGCCACTTTGGGCATAAGGCTTCCATACAAGTGTTCAGCTGTAGCCTGTATCCTTCTTGTTGTCTATTGACTCGCGACAGGCAGTTGCATTCCCAGAGACGGACGGGATGTGCGTCTAGCTGCGTCTAGTCTGCACCGTGATATCGGCAGGCCATTGATAGCTCATATGCACTGCACATCGGAGGACCCGGCATCACCAAGACTGCAGCCCATAGTCACAGGAATTGAATAACTTGAATTGGCGTTGACCGACGATACGCATATCAATTCGAGGCTAGCAACAGTAAAGTCTTTCCGGTTGCTTTAAACTCAGCGTAGCTTATCCTATGTTTGTGTAGTCAAGTAGCGGAACAAACGAAAGACTGAGAACAGACCATACCTATGTGACCAGGAGACTCACCCGTCGCCTATTCATAAGTCTCTGGGAAAACACCATACTTCCCCGGACAATAGAGAGATTTGCGCACTCGTTGGTTTAAAGTTCCGCTAGGTGAAACTATTAGTACTCATGGCCCTTCTTTACGGGCTAACATCCCTCACTCGCTAGAAATGGATCAATAGCCTCAAGAACTTATCGAGAATACCCATTCATCAATAATAAGGCATAGAGACTCTTACTCTCGGCAATTGAAGCCTAGCAATGTAGCCCAGCAACGTGTCATAGACAGAACCTATCATGATGTTGAATTCGGACATTTATCTTCTATATATCCAAGGCACGAGGGCTCAGTCACCGCTCAGTCGTGTCTTTCAAACACAGTCAATATGACCAGACCATCGACTCGGTAAAACTTACATCTTCAATACTGCCAATCAACGACGCAATGCCGGAGTCATGAGTTTCGTTGCTGGATCTGTAAACGAGAAAAGACATATCAGATGGAATCCCTCGCGTCAACGCACGACCGCAGACGTATCCAAATAAACAACACAATATGCTAACATTTCTTCGGTTCAGGTAGAGACAGCCAAGGAAGACCTTGGACCTTGTATCTATAAAGCCAGCAGTCGTCTCATGCATTGAGCAGCTATCCATTACCGTTGACAGTTTCAAGATTAAACGGTTCTGCCTTCCACCAGTCTATTACCTATTCGTTTGAGATATACCGCTTCAAACTGACAGAACTTCCATCACAATGCGTTTCTTCACCTCAATCGTTGCTCTCGCAGCTACCGCTGCCGGTACGTCTTTCCTATATTCCTCTTCACGAGGTGATAGCTTTACTAACAAGACCCAAGCCCTCACCATCACATCCCCCAAGAGCCTGGATCAGGTGGACATGAGCAAGTCCGTCGATATCGAATGGCAATATGTCCAGTAAGTCCTTCTCCGTAGAAACCTATAGGACGGACACTAAATCATGGCAACAGATCCGACCCCCAGAACTTCTCCATCGTCCTCGTCAACATGATCACGCAGCCCCCCGTCAACAAAGTCATCGCCAACGAAGTCAAAGCCTCCGATGGGAAGTACACCGTGGACGGTGTCTCTGGTATTCCCAAGGCGTACGTCCAATTTCGATATCCGTTTCCAGCTACAGGCTAGGCTGACTCTGAATCAAAGAAACGGCTACCAGATCAACTTCGTCAGCACCGGTCCCACGAACACGGGAATCCTGGCCCAGTCTCCCCAGTTCAACGTCACGGGCGTCAAGCTAGAACCAAAGACCACTTCCACCGGTAAGATTTCTCCAACCAGGATAACCTGTACCATACGTTCTAACATCTTTTCCCTCTCGCAGAGAGCCAAACCGCCACCGCGACAGCTTCCGCTACCGCTGCCGCCACGACCAACGCTGCTGCATCTCTCATCGCCCCAGCCGCTGTGGGCTCCTTTATTCTCGGTCTTTTCGCTCTGGTCGTGTAAAATAATCTCTCAGTGAGCAAGTAAGGGCGTTTGAGACTGACGTCATACTACGGAATTTGGGGATGTTCTTGGTATATATATACATTTTTCCAGGGCATGATATCCGATGGATATTAACGGTGATACTGATATGATGGATGAGAACATGCTTTTTAATGCAGTTAATTGTCTACGCAAAGTAACTGATAATTGATAACGAACTTTCTTACCTCGTCTTGGATTCACCGCTGGTCTTCGCGGTGTACGTTGGTATTGAAAACTTGATCCTCATGCAAGGGGAGCAGGCTAGTGATGTATGCATGCACATCTTCAGCCCATAGTGGATTTCCATATGCACTCATCACACTTTTAGCTCGAATTTGTTTTTCAGCTTCTTGGAAGGCCTCCCGCTTGTTCTGTCTACGACCTTGCCAGCATACATCCATATTTAGGCCTAAGTCGACTTCGTGGGGTTGAAATCCTTTTCGTCCAAACCAGAAGTGGTCAACTCACCTACTCGGAAGTTGGTGTGGATCAATACAGGGATGGATTGTCTTGAGTAAAAGCAAATGGGTATACTAGTGGGAATGTACATATATACAGAAGTAGCCAAGTGTCAGCCTTTGTCACAAGTCCTCACAGCGAGCCCATGGTCGATTCAGCAAGCCCCGAGACGGATCCTGATCCAGCTGCGCTGGCGCTGGCCGCCAGTGACGATGACTGGTCATTGTACTTGTCATTTATGCCTTCTCGAGGACGGTCCCAGGTGCGAATGTGGCCTGTTTATCTCCCATGTTAGCGGCTGTCTCTGAGACGACAAGCAATGTATAGAAATCAGGGCGAACTACCTTCAAGAGAAGAGGTCATTATACAATCTTCTTGAAAGCCCAGCCAGCAGATAGGGTCCGTGCCAACGACTTTGGACTTTGAAGTTGTCAGCTCAAGATTCAATGGTCATGACATGAAATTGTGAATAACAAAATGCTCAAGAGCATTACTCAGAACTCACCATGATAGGCGGCAGTAAGGCCGTACGTGCTCTGGGTTCTACAGGGTGACGGACAGCGTGGTCGTAACTCTCATAGGTGTTTGCTGTCCTTTGAGAATCTGACCTCATCCTGTTGCCCGCACTATCAGCTCGGTGACGATTGCCATACTGTGAACTGCCAGTGATCATGCTTGTTCGCTGACGTGCGCTGGCTTGATGCTGTTGAAGATTCGTCAGCACAGTGGATCATAACCTCACCATCCCGAACCAATTTAACAGTTTCGAGCGTGTATGCTGGATCTCGTGATAAGAGGGATACGTACCACTTTCGGTCGATGCAGCATGCCAACGCTAAAGTCCCACAGAAGAAGCCTGCAGTCGTCACCGACACTCCCAAATCTGTAGGTCCGTTCGTCGCACTGCCATGGATCGAAGGCGACCGCGGAAACCCAAGAGCTGTGACCCTGACAACGAGCTACGATTTTGCGCTCTGGGAAAGACCAAATAGTCACTAGATCATCCTGTCCGCCAGTGACAATGTATTTGCCATCAGGCGACCAGCAGACGCAGATGAGTCCACCGTAGTAACTGCGAAAAATGTCCAACACCCTAAGCGGCTCGTTAGCTGCCTCTCAAATGCTGAATGTACGGATAGTAAGAACAGGGGGACCTACTCTTCTCTCAAGTAGTCCATCACTCGTAGAGAGCCATCGTCCAAGACAACTGCCAGATGCCTTTGGTCTGGGGAGAATGCAAAGTGTGATATTCTTTGGTTTGCAAGTTTCCAGAGAGCGACGGGGTTAGTCTTTTGATTCCTAGAGTTGACGGACTTTAGCACCTGCAGCGGCTGTCTACTGGACGCCTTGAGTGCCTCCGCTGACTGATCCTGAATTTCAGGGGTGAAAAGAGCATCTTCCTTCTCTTTATCGTAGACCACTAACTGTCCGTTTGCGTGCGAAGCCATAAACAGATTTTCCGACCCCGGAATCCATTTAATATGAGTGACCGGAGAATTGCTGACGACTCCATTCTTATTTATTCGGGCGTACTTTTGAGAAATAGGCTCATACCAGATGATGTCACCGGCAGAGGAACCCATGACCATGTCGATGTGAGAAGCGCTTTTGGTGAGCTCATTAATATCGTGGCACAACATGTGCGCCTTTGTGAAGAGGATCTTAGCAAGCGGCTCTTCCTTCTGCTTCGAACTGAGATCAAGCCATTGGAAGGCGCGGTTGATGTTGGCGAAAGCAAAAAGACCCTCCGGACTCCGCTCATTCAACCGCTTTGTGGCTGCTTCATGAGTGATGACCCGGGATACGAACGACGAACTGCTCTTGATAATGTTGTTCTTAGGCTTCCGCCGTTTCAGTCCGTCCTTGACAGGAGCAGGTACCAGTGCCGGGTTTCCATCTCCAAAAGGGGGCGCTATTACGATCTGCTTTGAGATGAACGAGGGAGTCTTGCTTCGAGGGCTGACACAAACTAGAGAAACCTTGACGCCGGATGTCGGTGGCGTAGGAACAGTAGCGAGAGGATTTGGATTTATAATTGGAGCTTCAGATGGGTGTGGAGGAGGGGTTGCTAGGTGCAGGTCGTCCTTGAGTTCATAGGTTCCTAATCGATAGTCCTTGTTAGTCCTAGTTGTCGAGACTTGTCGGATACAAACGCACCTTCTCCAACTTGTAGCGGGCAGCCGCCTTCTGGATGACTGAGTATGTTGTTGGTCTCTACGACCGGCACTGCCATGCCATTTGCCGCGCCAGCGGCATAAGCGACTGGCATGGTGTAGCGAGGAGGCGGAGGCGGAAGCACACTAGCGAGAGCAAGTCAGCAAAACTGAGTTCGCAGTAGATATCCAGCTGTTCCCTGCCAGTCCGTAGGAGCACAACAAGCGACAATGAACAGCAAGAGATGACAAGGAAAAACTGATAGTGACATCAGGCGTAGCAAGGGAGAGCTTACAACATGGTTGCGGTTGCGACGGAGTGGCGCTATTTCATGTAAACTAGAATATTTTTGTATATGCTGCAGTGGCAGCAGTGAATAGTAGATGAAAGGCAAACAATGTTGACTAAGGCAATAGGTGAATCCTGCCGAGTCCACAGTCGCACTGAAATGCTCCTAAGAGCAGCAACCTAAGCAGAGCTGCCCAGGGTAGTGTGTGACGCTGAGATCTGCAATGGATGCGATGTATTGAGGGAGGGACGATATTAAGAGATAGAGGAATCGTGGAGTATAAATGTCTTCAAGCCAGAATTCGCACGTTGAGATCGGCGCTGAGGTATATCTACATCTCACATCGGTTAGTCGATCACGCATACACGTGGAGGGGAAAAACAAGTGTCAGCAGACTGACCTTGGGATGCAGGATAAGCGGGTCTCCACAAAATGATAATCAGCAGAATTAGACGAAGAAATAATATATACAATAAAGGAATCCCAACTGTGAGGTAGGGCGAGAGATGTGAAGCGCGCAGGTTAGACTGACAACGGTGAGTGAGGAGAGGAGCGGAGAGCTGGACGGGGAAGTTTGGGAGGCCCGTGAGCCGGTTTCTGGGGTTAGTGTACTCGGCGGTTAGCTATATAGCCTATGGTCGTTCTCTCGGTTCCTGGCCATAGGCGGGGTTCCTCGAGGGCCTGATAACAACCGTTTTATTGGCAGTTTAAGATCATCGATCTTTACTCGAGAGGCTTTATGTGTCAAACCTTCAAATGAAGGACTTAATTGGTATATCTAAATGCAATAATATAGAGACATATGAGTTGATATTTTAGTCTCTTCCGCTGGCACAAGCCCATGAACAAAGCACATGCATGAACGCATAAAAGCTTCTCGGGGTATCAATCTAATTTATCCCTCCAGGTAGGCATTAATAAGCTCAAAGACCTATCTGTCCACTACCACTAACTCTTCGCCAAATCATTACGGCAGCAGCCCCAGCGCAAACCACTGCTCCGAGTGCTATACCCCAGGCCATCCATTTCCCCTCCACGTCTTCCTCACTCCGAGGAAAAGCAGTGCTAGGCTCCATGGCAGCCTCTGCAATGTGTACAAACACCTCTTGGATGGAACTCCAAGTAGCACTGACATGGAGCGGCGGACTCGGCATATTCAGCATGGCCGTGTACTCGTGGGGCTGATGCTCAGCCCGTTGCGTGGTACGATCCAGGTCGGCCTTAAGCGCAATAAAAACACTCGGGAGCTCTTCAAGATGCGGATACTTGGACCGTAGCTGGGGAATATAGGCAAAGGAGTCCGGATCTGAGGAATCATACGTGTATACAACGACGTCGCACTGATCTAGAAGCTTCGCCTGGTTTTCAAGAATGGCGGGCTCCAGTTCTCCTAGCTCATCCAGGATCAAGTAGCATTGTTTACCCCCGGGTAGCTCAACCGTATTGACAGCAGTTCGGGGCTGGATAGTCGGGCGATAAGTGTGGCTGAAGCCACGCGCGAGGAAGGCGTCGAGAAGCGCTGATTTGCCCGAGCCTGGAGCTCCAACCACGTGGCCCAAGACGACATTACGGCCCACACGTCCAGGACGCTTTCGTCTCTTTCGCGGCCGCGTGACTTTCAAGGCAGCCGTTGTAGAGGGATTACTCCTATCGGACGACTCGAAGCCAAGATAAGCCAGATACTCCAGAGTCGTCTTCGGTGATTGGAATGTTGTCATACTCCACTGAGCAAGCCAGCCTTGCAGAGTGACGTGGCCAGCCTCGTTCCGGACCGTGGAGGAAGGAAATGAGCCGTCCGCCCAAGAAGCCGGGAGTCCGGGAGTCGGGGCGAACAAGGACGCCAATTCGGCGTCGTTTAAGCCACCATCATTGTCTTTGTCCGACAGCAGGAAGAGATTGACAAAAAACCGATATCCTTCCGGGGACAGCTCAGCAGATGCAAAAGGCGGTACTTCGAATCGGGGATGAAGGAAGCTCTCTTGCAATGAAAGATTGTCGGTGTATTGGAATGCTCGTAGGATAATCCAGACGGTCTCGTGGCGTCCCTTTTCTGCGTACATCTTGTTCAGATGTATGAACCCTCGGCAGTCAATCCCAAATGGGGTCACAGAGTCCGGGTGTGTTCTCTGGATGGTCTCCTTGATGTGAACAAGGTCCTCCTCGCTTAGAGGCTTATCAAAGCATCTCATCTGAAAGTCTTCGATTTCTTTATCCGAAAGATAGCCATCTCGATCCTTGTCGCTCAGGTAGAAGATGCGTTGCAAGGCCGCAACCGCTGCTGGCTTCAGCGCGGACTCTTTCGAATCGAACAGCGGAGCGATTGGGTGAGTGACGGCTTTTTGACATAGGAAGAAAGCCTCGTTGACGTTGCGATGTTCGCGAGCGCTGGTACGTATACAGGAATCGATTTCCTTGAACTCCGCCATCACTGGTAGCATTTCCTCCTCGATGACCTGGGCCTCGGTATGATCGGCAGCTAGGTCCGACTTGTTGGCGCATAATACAACAGGCACGTTGACCCCCAGAGATCGAAAGTACGGCAACCAGAATAGAGCGACTCTTTCATAGCTGTAATGATCGGAATAAACTAACAGAATCACATTCGACTTTCTGATTTCCCGAGCCAGGTTGCTCCGCTCCTGCGGTAAAGCGGAGGTGTCCACCACTGTGGTAGTCGTGACATTTTCAGGCGTTCCGATCGTGGGAGGAATGATAATTTGAGGTAGGACGGGCTGAATTTTGTTTGTGACGAAGACACCTTTCACAAGGGAGGTAATGAGACTGGACTTGCCAGTGCCCTCATCCCCGCAGACGCAGATGCGCACTAGGTTATGCCATGTCAATATCATATCAACAGAAACGATCAAGGACTGGTCGAACCTGTAGCCATTGGTACTGGTTACGTTCTTCTATCTCAAATCATTGTCGAAACCATCTCATCTGTCCACCAAGATGGTTGCTGGGACACTGGTGCAGGTACAACAGACATGGAATCATGGTTGGAACCTTAAACTCTATGACTATTGCTGATCGCCGGAGTTTCGGGCGGTGGCAGTGCCGTACTTGCAGCCTCAGGTTTCCACATATGCGGCATGTGACACTGGGAAAGAGTGCGATATCCCCGTACCAAAAGAGGGCCTGTACAGCGAAAGATTGATCAACATCTTCGAACAAGGTTTATTACATAAGTAGTATATCATTCTTCAGCAATGATGCTCACCAATTGAATACACTGAGCTTGAATGGAAGAATATCGCAAGAAGGGCACAGCCACTCGCGCCGGAGAGCTATGATGCCGGGCCGCTGCTGACGGAACTTACTAGATAGTGCGGAGTACCTTTAGACCTGCTTTGCTGTCCATCGTCTGGAAGAATTTGTGCCCTATTCGAGGGCTTCACAGAAACAATAACATCAAACCTAAGATTGCTTTAATTTATTGGCTGCCGAAGTTAACCGACTCAACTTGTTAATCAATTATTTGGGTACCTGAACTGGAGGTTCGGGGAAAGGTTGTGCTAGCTATCCTAGTACTGGACTGGTTCAGCCGTCATCTGTTCCACATCCGGGCGACCCATCAGGGCGAACGAACTTCCCGTTGCGCAGCATTCTGCGATCTCATCTTTCGTATCACTACCGACCTTTACTCTCCTGCAACTCAGTGATCCTACGATCCGACGAGCGTAGCAAAATGCCTCTCGGAATACACAACCCACTGCCGTCGTCGTTATCAAGTACGTATCAGCATTTGCTTACGTCTCAATTCCCCGCAGTTGGGTTTCCGCAGTAGGTGAGTGCCTGGCTGATCATTATTCTTTCTCAACAGGCGAATGCAAGAAGGCGGGCAAGATTCTTGCATCTTTTATTGATCCAAGGCAAGCCTTCGGTCCTGATAAGATTATTCCTCCTGAGATACTCGCTGGTGCGAAGGTAAGTTGGAGAAGCAAGTCTTATCTTAAATGCGCTTTCGCCGAGCTAATCGCTCGGTCGATAGGGTCTCGCTATTCTTACTGTCCTGAAAGCTGGCTTTCTCGGTTCTGCTCGGTTTGGCTCAGGGGTTGTAGTCGCTCGTTTGGCCGATGGCACATGGTCGGCACCTTCGGCTATTGCGACCGCCGGTGCTGGGTTCGGAGGCCAAATTGGATTTGAATTGACTGATTTTGTGTTCATTTTGAATGATGCAGCAGCAGTGCGGACATTCTCGCAGGTTGGAACCTTGACTTTGGGTGGAAACGTGTCAATCGCCGCAGGGCCGGTGGGACGAAATGCGGAGGCTGCGGGCGCGGCAAGCACAAAGGGCGTCGCAGCGGTGTTCTCCTACTCGAAAACAAAAGGTCTATTTGCTGGTGTCAGCTTGGAAGGAAGCATGCTGGTCGAACGGAAGGACGCCAACGAGAAGATGTATAACAGTCGAGTCTCAGCACGTCAACTCCTTAGCGGTACTATCCGACCTCCCCCCGCTGCGGATCCTCTTCTCCGGGTGCTGAATTCCCGCGCGTTCTACGGCAATGGCAGAAACGGAGACACCATGTACAATGATATTCCAATTTATGACGACAGACATGACGACGTTGTTTGGGAAGGCCGACGGGGTGAGGCATACGGTGAGGGGCAACGGCGTGACCGCGGCGGTTTCAATGGTACCGATGACTACGAGTATCGCGACCAACCTCGTCGCGCGAATACGTGGGCAGACGACGTTTACGATCGGCCCGCCGGAGGTTTGGGCCGTTCCTCTACTATCGGTCAAGCCGATACTTTTGATAGATACGGCGGCCGCAGTCGGAGCAACACCGCTCCATTTGAGGAAGATTACGTCTATTCCGACCGTAAGCCCAGCCGGCCAACGGCACCCAAACCTGTCTTTGGGCAGCGCACAGGGCAAAGTGCTCCTCTGCGGGCAGATCAAGCCGTCGCATTGTACACATTTGAAGCTGATCAGGAAGGAGACTTGGGCTTCAAGAAGGGAGACATTATCACGATCTTGAAGCGCACGGACAAGGCGGAAGATTGGTGGACAGGGCGCATTGGCGACCGGGTCGGCATCTTTCCCAGGTGAGAATATCCTTTTTGGAGACCGAAGAAGACGTTCATACTGACACAAGGATTAGCAATTATGTCGATGCAGCTTGAGTATCCAGTCACGACCCCTTTGCTGCTTGGTGCAGAATGACATTAACGAACTGATCATCAACTCTCTGGACAGAACCTTTCAAGATGCCTCGCACACATATTGAACTGTATCACAATTCCACGTTGAACGTCTCTTTAGCTCCTTTCATGATGTAAGCGCTGGAGTACTTGTCCATTAGGCGTGCTCCAAATCATGACTGAACGGGTTGTGAATGGAAAGAAGTAATTTTGTACAGCAGGCTTCAGCGAGTGCCTATTTCTCTATATCCTTGTCTTTCACCTTTCTTTTCCAAACTCTTCCGTCTTGCGATTGACATTGCTTTCAGGACTACTTAGGATTGTTTCTTTTGTCTGCCGCTGGTTTGATCTTAGAGAATGATTGCATGCTTGCGCTTTTCACTCATTATTATCAGTTGTTGTATGGCGTCACAGGCCTGCATAGCATCCAATGGCATTCACGGAGGTTTCTGAATACTTTACTCCTGCCACCTTAAGATATCTGCTATGGAATATCGCTGGTATTCCGGCAGATCCAGCAGATCGAGCAGAACCCCTGTGATAAGCAGTGTAATCATGGCCGTTTAGTTCAGGAATGACATAATCTGCATACCGATTGATGCATGCACATTCCACTAGAGTTTGATAAGAGGTATGTTTCAAGTCAAGCTTCTAATGAACCTAGGATGTTTGCCAGACGCCGGTCAATCTATATGATTCCGACAATAGAGAGCGATCGTGATCTGGTGCCAAGATTATCATAGGTTTGGATGTTGAGGCGTTGTATGGTGACCGACGATAGGCACGAGACCTGCTATGATGACCATTAATCACACAAAGTACGAGGACTATGAGAGAATAACAACGACAAGAAGATATCCACTGTAATCACGGAAGGAGGAACCCTTGAAAAGAAAGCCGGGACACGCCATTTGGTCACAGATTTTGTCTCTATGCAAATGAGTGCCTATATCGAATGACTGGTCAGCTGAAATAAAGTTCTGTATGCGCTAGACATGGGGGAGTCAGCACGAGGAAAGCCGTTGCGTGGAGCCAAGCATGAGCACCAAAGTCACGTCTACTGCGGGTGAGGTCACCCATATTATGCCAGTAGTCAGTTTCAATCTCACTTGATGCATTTCTGCTTCGTGTCCTGCCTGGTCCGAGGTATGAATGACTAAAGATTTGCTTAGTGAATGATCAGCGCCGCGGTTATGCACTCCATAACCCACAATCCTTTATCTGGAGAACCGTTAAGCCGGAAGCCACGGGCGGTAAGGAGCTCATAAAATCGCTAACGGAGGACTTTGGTTTGAGGCTGATAGAGTCCTGTGGTCCACTCATAGTCCAGGACTCGGGAGTCATACCTTAGTCGCTCATAGTAACGACATGGATGGATGATCGTCATCTGTTCATAGTTCCTACAGGGTCAGCATGTAGTTCTGACAAGATCGGATCGTCCATAGAGCGGCGGCCCAGACTAGAGTTGGGCCGCGAGTGGAGCTAAACGATGACCGACGCAGAGTGGACCGATCCATGAATACAGCGTATACATTGTTAGCAACGGGTTCGAGGGTGTGATTTGAATGAAATGGGCGAATTTGGCTGTATGGAGCTCGAGTGAAGAGGAACTACTCGTAGGCAAATGATGTGATCGAGGTTGAAACATAACCTGAGGCACACGAGTCACTGCCACTACGGAGGTATGTGGATGCACTCCATGTCTTAGACTAGTAGATATTCTGGAATTTGTTAGAAGTAGATGGTCATTTGCTCCGTATATCATTACTTTTCTTGAGGCCATTATTCAAGGAATAAGGTACCCAATGAACTGAATAAAAGCGGAAATAGCAGAACCTCCAACCACAGTTGTCCAGGGTACCTTACTTTGTGGTACCTGTTTATCGCCTGATAAAGATAGTACCCAAGAACCCGAAGCCCCCAGCGACCAAGGTAGCCTACTAAACTTCCTAGCCCAACGCTTGTTATGGAGCAGTAGGGACGTCTTGAAAAGACACTACTACAAAGGAAGTTTAGCTGGTTCTTTCTTACTTACTTACCTTACTTGCACTACTACTCTACTTCCTCATCCTGCTGATATTCCTTCTTAATAACTATCCTGGTGATTATTATGCTCTCCACCTTCAGCTAATTCTCATCACTCTTCCTCCTTACTGAAAGTTCTTACTCCTACTTGCTGGACATTGTTGTCACCGGATGCCTAGCCGTCAGCCTTTCCCTTATTGTCTTCGTTCCTTGCTCCCTGGTGGATGTTTTTCCCCGTCGAACATTATTGCTCTTGCTGCCAGTGTTTCTTCCCCGCTTCCATGATCACCCTCCAGTATCTCCCGGCCTAGGTGCTATATACATTCCTGTTTGACCTCCCTCTCCACAATCGACTTTCCCGTCGACCCTTCTGTCCTCAGCAAAATTCGGGAAGACGATTCTACGAGGGCTCCCGAATTATTTTGGCTCTCATGCAGGTGTGTTTGCTCTAATAGTCGTTCCATTAATCCCTCTTACCTGTTCGAACTTTCTTTTTCTGCTTTCCCCTTCCCCTTGGTCCGACCCAGCCTTTCCCCAACCTCCAAACCGTAGAGCCCTCTTCCAGACGCCTCGTGGACTGTCCTCAGTCTACTTGATTAAGGGTCTACTGGAGAAAAAAAGAAAAAACTCTCTGACTGGTCTGTTCGTTTGATCACTTAGGCTTCACCGAGCCCCTCTGAGGCTGGCGGAGGATACGGGACGCGGAGAGGCCATGTGCCTCAATTATCTATTAGCGACCCGAGTCATCATGTCACGGAAGCCATTGGGCATATGTACGAAGACGATTACGACAGGCGGGAGTCCAAACGTCTCAGCTTTCTTTCTTCCCCACTCAGCGAATCCATCTCCATAATCCCTCCCAACCTCGCCGGATCCGAAGACCCCGCCTCACCGCAGTCGCTGCATGTACAAAATCACGCGAACGCCGCGGATAATCGCCAGACGAATGGACACTCACGGCCGCCACTGGTTTCTTCCAAGTCCTTCGACAGGGAGACCAGCAGCCCGACATCTCCCGGTTCGACGGACACGGCTACCACTTCCTTCCCTCTAAACGATATCGACTACGAATCCGATCCTGCTGCCGTGGCCCAGGAGCTCAGTAATCTAGCTGCTATCCGGCGGATGTCCATGGACGTGACAGCAACAGGAGATCCCGACCTTCCAAGTTTCTCCGTACCGTCAATAGCCCCATCTCCTTCCGCCGATGAAAATGATGCATCTCGTTTATTCTGGGTTCCAGCTCGGTTGCATCCGGAGCTGGCTCCCAAGGAGTTCAAATCCTTCCTCGAAAGTAAGGCGGAACAGATCAGACGAAAATCGGGCGAATTCTCCCCATCGGGCTTCGAACACGATGGAGCGGGCGGGTCGCTTCGCCGGAAGAAGTCCATGTTGTCCAGACAGATTGACACATCCCAGGGTTACACGGATGGGGCGGAGCGTCTCGAGCGGAAACGATCGCAGTCGAAAAACAAGTCTCTGAGCCCGAATCTGCTTCAACTTGAATCGTTAGTCGACGACTCCAAGCAGCAAACTCCGAGCGCGGCGTCCTTTTTGGACGGAGTTCAGAAACTCACCATATCCCCGGAGGAGGATGTCCCAATCCTCCCTCCCGCGCCCCCAGGGCACAGTCTCCGCCGCTCTACGCGAACACAGTACAGGAAAGCCGGTAGTTTGAGGAAAGGCGAAAAGGTTCCATATTCAAAGCGGACTGGTAAAGCATCCGACACTATCGACCGAGTCCCTTCAATCACCACTTCATCTGCGGATGAGCCCTCCCCAGGTCTCACGCGAGTGGCCACCGATCCAACGCCTAGCGCAAGGCGCGCACAGGTCGAGCAGCAGTACACGCCCCAGACCGCTGTCAACTCTTCTACACAGTTTGAGAATGGCAGGACGAACGGCTGGTCGGAAACGAATCCTGGGGACAGGGCGAATGCGTCTCCCCAGGCACGTCATCAGTGGCACTCTCGCATCAGCTCCAATGGCCGCTCAACTTTGAATATTCCGCCCACGGAACAAAGGGTGCCGGAAATTGTCGAGACGCCCCCGGTCGAATCTCCGACAACTCCCACGACTCCCACGTACCACCTCAGTTACAGTTCGGGGCGGGAGGCATCGCAAGATGCGCCGCCGACGCTTCCTCCAAAAGAGTCGTCCCTTCGAGATTCGAATACAACAAAACGACCCGGAGCCGCGCGGCAGTCAGGGAAGGAGAGCTCGAAAACTCTCAATGACTTTGCGAATAACCCACAACCACTCCCGGGAAATACAACACGAACGGACAACCTCTCCTTCATTCCTACATTATCGGAAGACCGCAAGCCCGAACCCAAAAAGTCTAAAGACAAGAAAGACTCGGAGGGTGGTCGCAAGTCGAGTTGGCACTGGTTGCTGGGCTCGGAGGAGAAAGAGAAGGATAAGGACAAGGAAAAGAAAAAAGACAAAGACAGCGATTCGAAGAAAAGCAAATCGAAGTCGGTGGATAAGGTTCATGAACCTGCACACCTTGCCTCATCCAACGATATCAGTCCGCGCGGGCGCGAAAGTATCACCGTGGATCGGCTCGACCCTAAACTGGAGGAGGAGCGTCGGAAAGACCACGTCCGGCGCACATCGGGTGAGTCCAAGAAGGACAAGGAATCCGGCCTGTTTTCATCGATTTTCGGCGGTGGGAGGAAGAAGAACAGTGGAGATGGTCATCACAAGAAGAGCTTGTCGCGGACATTGTCCCCTGACCCGCCCGTGCGCGAGCTACGGCCGGATGTCGATTATCCATGGACACGATTCTCGATCCTCGAAGAGCGAGCCATCTACCGCATGGCTCATATCAAGCTGGCCAATCCTCGGCGAGCGCTCTATTCTCAGGTCCTACTCAGCAACTTTATGTACTCTTACTTGGCCAAGGTTCAGCAGATGCATCCTCACATGATCATGGCGTCATCGGCTTCGCAAAA